GTGCTTGCCTTGCATGCCTGAGGCCCTGGGTTCGATTCCTCAGCACCACATAAGCAAAAAGAAAAAAGCCGGAAGTGGCGCTGTGGCTCAAGTGGTAGAGTGCTAGCCTTGAGCTGAAGAGCTGAGGGACAGCGCCCAGGCCCGGAGTTCAGGCCCACGACCGGACCAAAAAAAAAAAAATAATACCTTCTGCTGCTCTAGAAACTATTAGTATCATCACACCACATAACATTACCACCTCTACATCTTAGAATCTGCCAGGTATCTCTTGTAAGACACTTCCTTTCATAAAAATGCCAATAACTCCTTGACCATGTTTCAGTAACTGTACTGCTATTGAGAAAAATTAAGATGTTCCAAATGAACACCGTAGAAACGGGTTTTCTTCTGATATCACTCAATGTCCAATGCACTATCAGCCATATTTAACATGCATTCTCACCTATGTGGTTTTCCTAAGTCACCAACCATTCTCTCATCTCCCTTGCTCTTTACCTCCTATCTCTCAAGTCTCTTACTATTGTATCTTGCTAGCAGTTCCGATCTATACCTGTTCCATTAATGAAGTCATCCAGTCACATGATTTTTTTGTTTTTGGGGGTCCGGTCGTGGGGCCTGAACTCTGGGCCTGGGCGCTGTCCTTCAGCTCTTCAGCTCAAGGCTAGCGCTCTACCACTTGAGCCACAGCACCACTTCTGGCTTTTTTTTTGTTTTTGCTTATGTGGTGCTGAGGAATCGAACCCAGGGCCTCAGGCATGCAAGGCAAGCGCTCTACCACTGAGCCACCTTCCCAGCCCCAGTCACATGATTTTTAATTATGTCTATAGACTAATAATTAGCTATCCATCAAGCCCTAGATCTTTAACCTGAATTCCAGACATCTAACCACCTGTTAACACTGGTATTTGTTTAACGGACATTTCCAACATCACTTATCACAAAATGACTTCCCAATATTCCATTCTACCTCCATACTTGCTCCTCTCATGTTCTTCTCTGTATTAGTAAAAAGTAACCTTCATCTAATTAGGTCACAAACTGCAACTCTCCACTCACATATCATTTTTATCTACCAGAAAACCTGGCTGAGTCTACTTTAAGTATCCAGTACTGAGCACTTCATACCATCTCCATTATCACAGCCATGGCAGCAGCTATTGAGTAAAGGAGTCAATTTCTATAAAAACTCTTCTGTCTCATTTTACTCTGCTCTTCTTGTTCTCCCATATCTAATTCTCAAGTAAGCAACTAAAGAGATCTCACTGAAAAATAAATATAGATTATGTGACTCTCTTCTAATAAAGGTCCTCACAATGATCTTCAAAGCCTGGTGTGTGATCTTCTCCCATTCTGTTCTCATTATTGTTACTTTGGCCACCATAGTTTCTGCTGGTTTGGTCTGGTTTGACCTGTTGTTGGTGTTTGAGAGAGCTGGCTACATAATACAGGTTAGGCTTTAACTAGTAATCTTCCTGCCTCAGCCTCCTCAGTGCTGGGATTACAAGTGTGTGACATCATATGCAGCTCTTCAATACTTTCTGAATTAGTTAAGAACACTCCTTCCTCAGGGCCTTGGTACTTCCTGTTTCCTGTAGCTAACTACTTTCCTACATGATGAGCCTTGCTCCTTCACCTCACTCCTTTCAGATCTTCATTGAAATTTACATTCCAGAGTTGCTTACCCTATTAAATATAAACACATACACACACACACACTCCTGGTCCTCTCCCTTCCTTTAAAAAACAAAACAAAACCACTTACCACTATCTAATATGGCCATTATCTAGTTTAACTTGCTTATTAATTGTCTTCTTCACTGGAAATAAGTTCCACAAAGACAGGGATTTTACCCTACTTTTCTCTCCATGTTACCTCTGCATCTAAAATAGGCCCATAATATTATGCCCTTGACAATTATTTGCCAACCAAATCCATGATTCCTTTTTTTTTCTGTCTGTTGTGGGGCTTGAACTCTGGGCCTGGGCACTGTCCCTTAGCTCTTCAGCTCAAGGCCAGCGTTCTACCACTTGAGCCACAACGCCACTTCCAGCTTTTTCTGTTATGAGGTGCTGAGGAATCAAACGCAGGCCCCATGCATGCAAGGCAAGCACTCTACCACTGAGCCACCTTCCCAGGCCCCAAATCCACGATTCTTAACTATTAGACAAAATGATTTACACGTATTAATAAATGGTGATACAGTCATTTAATTTACAGATAAGTAAACAGACATTCCTGAGTCACAGAGTTGGAAAATAGGATTGGTATTTCAAAGAAAACTTGAGTTTAATAGGCCTGCTCTTATTTTTACTAATCTTACTAGCACAGCAAAAGCAGTAATGTGCATTGTGTACAACAGATGTGTCTTTCTATACCTATCAAAGTAAACAAGGTTATGAACGGAGGAAATACAATTTAAGTAAAAGCAAATGCTGTGGATTACACAAATCGTAAGTCAAATTAAGCTCCATGATTTGCTAGTGGTTATCAAATCCTTACAAACCATATGTCCTTCCCTTATTTTTTTTTCTTAGCTACAAAATAGAAATAGTAATAGAACTTAAATTTTCTAAACACTTGTGACATTTAAATTCAGACTCAGTTAAGACATAGTGGTGCATGCTTGCAATCCCAGAACTTGTTAGGTGGAAGCAGGAAAATGAAGCCAGCTCAGAACTACACAGCAACCCTGGTTTGGTTTGGTTTTGAAATCAAACACAAAGGTTAGCGGTTCCTGGCACAATGTAATCTTCCTTCGATTCTTAACGATTTCCAAAAACTCCTAGAGAACATCACCCCAACTTTTGTGATGTCTTTAAAAAGAGAGAAACAGAGCGTCAGAGATTTACACAGATGGTGCACAGAAAACTTATTAAGCCCAGTTGCTGAATAGGAACTATCAGTTTTACCATCCACATATTAACTGCTGGAGACATTACCTAGAGCATCGCATTCAACCTCTCACGGATTTAGAGGGTCCAAGTAATTTGCCCTGGGTCACAGTTGGCCAGTCTATCGTCCTTTTCCGTTCCACCTAGTCGCATCAGGAGAGAGCAGCAGCCCTGTTGAGTTGTGAACTGCAACCTCTCAAACAGCTTTTGAATGTGCACATGCGGACATGTGTGGGAGCTGGGAGCTTGAGCCTTTTGCAGGCCAGGCTTCGCGAGACCGTCGGGTGTCTCATTGAAGACGGGAAGGACCATACGATAACCACTTTTCCGATCAGAAAAAAAAAAAAAAAAATGGGGCTGGGCATTGCAGGACAGCTCCGTCGGCTCTGAACTCACAGCCTTGGCCTCTCGACCACTGGGCGTAGTGGCCAAGGTCAAGCGCTCGTGAGCGGCCTGCCCTGGGCCTGCGAGATGACTGGGGTAAGGGAGGGGAGCGGGGGTGGTCCCCCAGTTCCGGCGGCCCGCCCGGCCTGACGAGACCCCCAGACCCCGGCCTAGCGTCCCCGGCCCGCCGGCCCAGAGTCCCCGCCCGCCGGCCCCACTCACTATGTGCACGCGGCGGTTGGGGTCGTTGTACTGAAGCAGATACTGCTGTTTAAGCCGGGCTCGCAGGGCCAGCCGCTCGGCCTGCGCCCTCCGAGTTTCGGCCGAGATGTCGTACTCGGCTGGGTCCAGGGTAGGCGGCAGGGTCGCCAGGGGAGCCGGCTTATACTTGGGGGACTCCATCTTGGCGCCCGGCACACAACTGCGCCTGCGTGACTCTAAGTCCCACCCTCTGCAGTCTGACCTTCAACCTCAGGAAGCGCGCCTGCGCGTTAGTGAGAGGCGGTGAGACCAGGGGAGGGAGGGGGTGGAGAGGATGGGGCGGGGTAAGGGGGTGGAGACTCCACTTTTCTCCCGACGCAGCCAGGCTTGATAATCTGCGCGTGCGCATTTTTTCCCTTGGCCTACTGGCTACCTCTCCTGGGCCCTGCCCGTGCGTGTCTCCCAGCACCTGCTTCCAAGAACTTACTTTGGGAAGCTGGGTGACATAGGGAAATGGGTTGGCACTGGCATCTGAAGTCCTAATTTTTTTGTGTGAGCCTACTCAAACTGTGACCTTGGACGAGTCATTTAATATTTTCTGTTTATCCTGGAGATAATGGACCATATGGTGCACACCTAGCAAAGTTGTGTGACTTAAATAAACTTATAAGTATATATGCTTTTGCAGAACCTAAGTCCTCATTGCCCTAAAAAGAGAATAAGCTTTTCTGTACATTAGGCCTATATAAGGTTATTTTGCATAGGCATAAAATGCTTAATAGAAGAAGTTGCCTGACTGTAGTACAGAATTTCTTTAAAAGTGTTGAATGACATCCTGAAAAAGCAATATTTTAATTAAAATGCTAAAACTTCTTACCTAAAATCCATAGCCCTCATGAAGTGCTAAAATGAAAGATGTGTTTACAGATACTAAAACACACACACAAAAGGCACTAGGTCTCACTATAAGAGATGATTTTGTGACATTCAAGTTCAAATCTACTCAGGTAAACAGGGTGCATACCTGTAATCCTAGCAGTTGGGATGTGGAAGCCGGAGGACCAAGAGTTCAAGAGCAAACCAGACCCGTAACTCCTAGCTACTCAGGAGGCTGATCTGAGGATCGTGTTTCGAAGCCAGCCTGCACAGGAAAGTCCATGAGACTCTTATCTCCAATAAACTACTTAGAAAAAGCTAGAAGTGGTTCTGTGATACAGTGCTAGCCTTGAGCACTTAGGTTCTGGGACAGTGCCCAGGCCCTGAGTTCAAGCCCCTGGACAGGCAAATTTATTTATTTATTTATTTAAAAATCAAGACCTGGGCTGGGAAGGTGGCTCAGTGGTAGAGTGTTTGCCTTGCATGCATGAGGCCCTGGGTTCAATTCCTCAGCACCACATAAGCAAAAAGAAAAAAAAAAGCCAGAAGTGGCACTGTGGCTCAAGTAGTAGAGCACTAGTCTTGAGCTGAAGAGCTGAGGGACAGCGCCCAGCCCAGAGTTCAGGCCCCACGACCAGAGCCCCCCCCCAAAAAAATAAAAATAAAAATCAAGACCAACTGGAATAAATAAAAACTCTCAAAAAAAAACCCCACAAAGTAAATGAGCACTCATCCCTACTGTCCTTCCCCTTCCCCTCCCTACCACCAAGAGGGAAAGACAATATTAACATCAAGTATGTATGGCATGGTCTGTGGGAACCAATAAACTACTCCTCAGGAAGAGAAAATGTGAACAGTATATCCATAATTCAGGCAGGAGAGCTTCTGCCTGGCCGAACTGTCTGGGGACATGTTGGTATATGGGAAAATGGTGGCCAGGCAAGAGAAGGGACCTGGAAAGTTCTGGCAACTTGAAAGGATGAGAAGCAGCACTGCTGTCAAATTTATTCAACATTTTAATAGTGTTTTCAAATATTTATGAAGCACCCACCGTGGGAAGCATACTGTGAGCTAGTCAGTCAATCTTCTGTGCTCAGCGGGGCGAATACAGAAGAAATGGAGGCTGGGTGTTTGTCTCCCAGAAACTGACGATCAATCAGTACAGATAGAAGCAGCAGAGCAGGATAATAGATGTAAAAGTCATTTAGTGTCCAAATGAATATAGA